GGGGGGCGTCGCGCAGCCGCTCGGCCCGCTTTGCCGCTGCGAACGCCTGGTGGCCCGTGTGGTTGTAGCTTGACCAGCGCTGGGCTCCTCTCCCTTGCCGGTAAGCCGCGCCCCTCACGGGCCGGGGCACCACTCGTCAGGCCTCGGGCACCGCACGCGCACGAGCCACGGGGCGCATTGGGCCTGCAGCCCGCTCCCGAGGCCGCTGCTGCCCGCTCGCACAAGCCGCGCCCTCGCTGCAGCCGTAGCCCTGCCTCCTGCCCCCGGAGTGGCCTCGCCGGGGAAGCCCGGCTCCAGGAGCATCCCAGCAAGTGGCAGGAGCCTGGCACCGTCTCCGCGCGGCCATCCCCTGGGAACCGGGCTCCTATGGCCGGAAGCCACTGCCTCCTCCCTGGTGCCAGCCCTCTCTCTTTCATCCACCACAGATGTTGTGGGAGGCTGCACTGTTTGTACTCCTACACTGAGCAAACTGCAAGATACCCTTCCTTAATGTCAAATTCTCTCTCTCATTTCAAATGAGGTCTTCCCCAAATATAGAGAATAAAGAAACTGCTCAAGGGCAATCTAAGGGCATTACCATTTACAAGAAAAAGAAACACAAACATGTGACAGCAGTATTAGTGCAGATTTTATTTCATGTACCAAGACTACAAGCCACAAAAGCTGGCACGCAGGCTCCTGGGCAACATGTACTATATATGTACTTGTGGGCTATACAAGACAAACTAAAGCTCCTGCTTGTGGGTTCAAGGCCCTCTGTGATGCCAAGAGCGAGGATCAGGGCGGCTTTGCTTCAGAGCCGCAGGGAGGCCGCAGACCACTCCCAGCGCCTCGTCTCCAGTCCAGCCAAGCTTCACGAGCACAGATGATGGAGTCAAAGGTTAATGGGGGTTTCAGTATTTCGGTCTCTTCACTTCAACCCTGAAATTGCAGACGTTCATGAGAAACAATATACAGTAAAGCATGCTGAAAAAACAAAAAACAGCAGGACACAAGCACTCATCTTACTTTCCCTGCCTGCAGAGAGTAGCACTTGTAAGTGCACAGTATTTATATATTTGATTTCGATCCCACCTTCCCCTTTTTTTAAAGAATTCAAAGTGGTTTACATTGCTCTCACCCTCAGTGCTGCCCTCACTTCACTGAGTTCGGTGTAACTTACTTGGAGGCAAGATTGCAACCTCAGATACTGAAGACAGCAACATCCTTCCAGCAGGCCAGAAACGTTTCCCTCTGGTTAAGACACTGGCGGGTGCCTCTGCCGGAATCCCCATGCAACTGGGGCCACGGGGCCTGGGGTGAGCTGCAGCCCTAGCACCAGGCTAACATGCCCATGCCCCACATCGGCAGGCCAGTGCCTAGAACGGGGACAAACCCTCCAAGCCAGAGTCTGGAATTGCGCACGTGCAAACACTTGAACCCCCAATCCAGAGCTGACAGGAAAAGGGAAAGGCCGTCTTTAGTTTTAGATGTGTCAGTTCTTGGGGGCTCATCGCTGGGGCCTGGGGGATGGGTAGCCCAAGTGGCAACAGCACAGATAATACAGCAGCGTTCCTCTCTCCACGCATGCAAAGCACATCCCCGTTCCTGCAGCTGCCACAGCGGAGGGGCTGGCTCCGCGGAAAGCACATGAGGAGGTGTGCGCAGCCGAGATAAGCCCAGAGGAGAGCTTTCACAGAACAGGAGTTCTCAAGATTAAGCAAATTCTGCTCACCCATCAGCCTCCATCTTCTTCCTTTTTTCAATGATCTGTGGAGAAAGTACAATCAATAAAGATCACAACAGCCTGTGTCGGGTTGACCCGGGTTCTGACAAGGAACATCCACGCAGCACTGCAGTCAAACTTTTCTGTCAGGTTGGATCAGCCTTCAAGCCACCACACATGGGGAAGAAGCGCCCCGTCCACACTGCGAAGGAAGGCTGCGTCCTCCATGCCCCTCCAGCATCAGAAACCTGACAATGCTCGGGAGGACAGAGCACTTGGGAATGCCCGATGCTCGTTTGGCATCCCAGAGGGCTGCGCAGAAAGGCCGGCAGCGAAGGCACACGCCCGCTTCTGACTGAGTAAGCCAGACGCCCAACCCGTATTTCCACTTGCAGCCTAAAACAATTCTGGAAGTGGCTGTGCCAGTCTGAGGAGCGCATCCAAGGAAGGGCCAAGCGGAGCAGCCCGGCTCGAGATGCTCACCGCGCTGATCTTCTTCCACTGCCGATCCAGCTCGGCCTTGTCATTGGTCTCCTTGAAGCGGCGTGTCTTGCGGCCCTCAGACATCTTGATTCCATACTGGAATGCGGCTCTGCAATCACACAGGGGAACCCCAGAGATGAGTGGGGAAGCTCTTCAACGGCTGCGGCCGCCTTGGGGCCTGGGACAGAGGCCTAGGCTCTTGGCTCTGCTACGGGAGACGGCTCGCTTGTGAAGCCCCCCACCCCGCGCGGAAGGCCATGCAGCTGGAGGCGCTGGGCAGGCTCACTTGGGCAGGGCCTCCTTGTTGTTCATGTACTCGCTGTACTCCTCCTGTGTATCGAAGTCCCAGCGACCGAGCGGCCCCTTTTTGTTTCCCTTGGGAGGGAGAGAAAAGAGAGAAGCTTGATCTGCATCTACAGTGGAACAATGCGAAAACATTCTGCTGTTTTAGATAGCAGGGAATGCCACCTCTGAACACCCCCCTGCTTGAACGACAGCCAAACTGCCCGCGCATTCAAACTGGAGAGGCACCAGCAGGCCAGGAAGAAAGATTCCGGGATCTCTTTTATGGTGATCCTATGCTCTCTGCAGGGAGTTTTTGTTTGTTTTCTGTTTTGCATTTGGGCCTTGCAGCCTCACTCACTGCCACAAGCCTTGCAGTCTGAGGTTCCACTGCCTCATTCCACTGCAAACCGGGCCAGGGCATTAAGAGCTGCGACACCAGGCTCCAGTTGGAAAGGAAAGCCCCATGAAATCTGAAGACAGTTCAGAATCCATCATATCAAGCTGCAAAAGCATTTATCAAGGGTAAAATGCCTCGTCTAACATTGTAAATGACTGACAACACACCTGATCCATTTTGCTATAGTCGACTTCCTCATCACTGTCCACAGCCATGTCATCCATTCTGGAAATAAAAGCAGTAATTGGATCTTATGTATACCCACAGCATCCAAATTTGGTTTTTCCAGATTCAAAGACTCTGGTCAACACAGTCAGCCCACCAGCAACACCTGTAGTATCAGATATACTGCGAGGTTGTTTAACGCCAATAATAAATGTCAGACAATCCAAAGCATGTCCAAGCAAGCCCATTCAAGATCTGTTCTCAGAGAACAACAGAGAAAACACGCATGCTTACAGGTGAACCATCTGCAAACAATTTGTCCCAGTCTTAAATTATCTTTAGACTACCCTGGAAGCACTTTGAGGCTAGTCTGCCTCAAAGAGGGTACCTCAATGCTGAGTAAATTGCAACTGTAGGACCCTAAGGGACTCTACTAGCCAACAGCAAGGACATCACATACCAAACTCAGACTCTAATCGGCATGTGCTGAGACTGGAAACACTGAAGGGCAGACATGTAATCTGCTAAAAATCAAGATTTGCTGGAACAAGTTCAGACATTCTCTGCCAATGCTCTGTTACGTAGGTGGGAAAATAGCCTCCTTGGTAAAAAGGGTGGTTTTTTCCTACACAAAAATCCCCCTTCAAATTAGCCACCTAACCCCACCGGCTTCAGCACTCCGCCTATTTACATGCCTTTGAATTCAGAGCTGCATACTTCACTCGTGCTGACAGAAGCCTTTAGTTGGCTAGAGCAAGCCGAATGGTCTCTCAGTTTTTCTCCAGCTTCCCCGATGCTACAGCATAACCACTTTAAGTTAATGTGCTATTTTTAAGTCTAGGTTTTCAGATTTAATTATGTTTTATTATAAACAGAAGTGCAGTGCAATGTCTAAGTAAGTATTTCTAGCTTGTAATTTCTGGCTAACAGAACAAGCCAGTCAAATATATTTCCAGATTGTTTGGTTAAGCTACTAAGATATGCAGAGAGATTCCAGGAAGACTTGGAGATCAGTAATTCAGGCACAGATCTCCAAACCCAAACTCCCCTGATGACGGGACTCCCGTTGCTGTGCCTCACTGCTGGGGAACCTGTGGCTTTCCAGATGCGGTTGGACTCCACTGGTCCCAGCCAGCATAGCCAATAGTAAAGGATGATGGGATGCTGAGTCCAACAACATTTAGAAGAGCACACAACAGGTCATGGTGGGAACTATATACATGTTTACCAGTACAGTTTGGGGGCAAGTCATAATGCTGGAATAACCAAACCCCTTTTGAATCTGAGAAACTTTCCCTAACAAGGGACGCTGGCAAAATGGAACAAGAAATGGCAGCACAGTGGCAGAGAAGCAGACGGGCGAATCTGAACAACGCATGCTGAGGCACTGAGAGCATGCACCAGACCCGAGGGGGGGAGGGGGGGACGGGATGACGACACATCACACACAGGCACCCCATCAGCCACGTCGGCCATGGGAATGCCACCTCCTCCCTGCCCCGCAAAGCCATCAAGCCCTCTTACGTCGCAGGGTAGCATTCAGCATAGCTGTTTGACATCCCAAAGAAGTCTCCCAGTTGCTTTTTGTCTTCAGGCTTTTTTAATGTGTCGGATGTTAAAGAAAAGCTTGGTTTGGGCATCACCAGGCTCAGAAAACAGCACAGGAAGAAACTGTCCTCCTTTCCCAGGAGGGGACGCAGGCAGCTTCCTGGAGCAGCTCACTGCCGCGGCTGGCATGCAGCGGCAGCTTTCCCCCAGCCCTGCGTCCCACCCCCAGCCCGTGCACATCCTCCACTTCTATCCCACCCAGTTCCTGAGGCTCTCACAGAAAGGATATGACTCTGACCCTTCCCAGCCACCTGCACCAGCAAACTTCTCATTGATGGATTTGATCAGCTCCTTGGCTGAGCCGGGTCCTGGAAACAAGGAAGATGAAGAAGCAGGCTATGTTACTGTGGCAGAGGCAATTGTATTCCCACCTGCGGTGGTCAAAGAAAGATGACACTATTCTATAGCCCAGAAGCAAGAGGCCACATTTACGAAGCATCCACAGCGACCCCTTCGAGCTGGCGTCACTGCCCTCTACAGTCCAAAGCACCACAAAGCGTGGCAACTGGGAAACCCAGGAGGTAAGATTAGGTGGCAGGTGGCCAACCAAGGAAATGCGAACAGGTGCGATGGGATACACAAATCCCTCCTGATCCAGCTAGGGTCAAGCATCCAGTGAAAGATGAATCCCAGGCCCAAAATGAACTGCCTGAATCTTGGGTGCCATCTCCAATGTTACATTCCTGGCAATCTGAACAATACTTGTGGGCTGAGAAGGAAACCCCCCACCGCGCAGCCAGTGGATTGGGCAATTGATCCTGCCCGATCAGTTTTCCACCAAGGCAAACAGAATGACATACCTTTATCGATGTCGATAGGCTAAAAGGAGAAAGGAAGGAACACATTAGGACAGTGGCACAAGCAAGATGGTCGGGAGGCTCTTCTGCCGGGAAGGGTGCAGCAAAGTGCACGCCCACCAAGCACTAGTACCTCTCCGTATTCAGAATGCTGCCCTGCCTTCTCCCTTATTAACCTGTACACCAACCACTGAAAATCATGCCCTGGTGATTCCCAGTTCACAATATGCTCGCCCTCAATTATTCCACACCACTCAGCAGAGCGGCAAACAAGCCTGCTTCTACAAGGAACGTGCCTCCATTTTACCATGGCAAATTGAAATAATGATTAGGAATTATCTGCAATTTAACTCTCACAAGGTTCATGTGCCACAAGGCCTCCATGTGATGATGGGAATATTGCTCACTTACCTCATCGTCAGCTTTGGGTTTTTCAAAATAGCTGTGCCTCTTTTCCTCCTCTCGTTCCCTCTCTCGGTCCCGTTCCCGGTCTCGCTCATGTTCCCGGTCTCGCTCTCTTTCACGCTCACGTTCCCGCTCACGTTCCCGATACCGCTCCCGCTCCTTCTCTCGAGGAACCTTTGCCGCAGACGGTACGTAATCCCCAATGTCCTCAAAAATACTTTTTGGTTAAACAGATACAAATTTAAAAGACAGCAAATCAAAATGCACACAAGTCTTCAAAAAAGCAGGAATATTTTCCTGATGTGCTCCTCTAATCTAAACCACTCCCCTTATAAAGCAATCTCTCGAGGATTAAACTAGTCTCCTCCAGCCAGTCCCCTCAACTCTGAAGGATGGATAAGCCAAACCAGACTATTGGCTTGTTCTCTTTCAGAATCTTTTCGAGGGCCTTCCCACATGGTAGCAGCTTCTGGGAGAAGGTCTCCAATACAATGAAGAGAGTCCAGCTAAATAGCTGGAGGAGAATCCCTTCAAAAGCTTAGTTTACTTACTTCATATCTGCTTCTGGTGGTTTCTTCTCATCCAGTTTTCCTGCAAACAGAGAGCAATCAGAACAGGACTACCTCTGCACCCAGATTAGGGGCCAGCTTTGTTTCCTCAGAAGGCAGTGGAACACACAAGCATGCAGATGCTGACGACATCCTCTGCTCTGGGGCATCCAAAACTGCCGGCCTGTCAGTTGTGCACATGCAGGCTCCACCTCTGCAGCCTGAGAAGTGGGTAACTTTGGGAAGAGGAAGCCCAAGCAGGATTTGCTCTGACTTGCCCATGTCAAGCAGCCTGCTCTACTAGGTAGTATCACCATGCAAGGCGGAAAAGCTCTACAAAAATCCAAGCTCTCATATTTGTTTAGTTTGCCCAAACTTAATCACACCTTCCTTTCAAGGCAATTAATCTCAAGAGGGGTTATGCAAAAGAGACATGTGTGCCTCTCCCAAGACCGAAACACAGGGGCCTACCTTTGTCCTTCTTCTTGAGCTTTTTGTTCCGAGTGCCTTGCCTCAGGTATGAAAGAATCTGAGTCAGCTTGCTGATGACAATATCATTTGTAGTTAGTGTGGTCTGTGCCTGGAAGAAAAGGTCAGAACAATCACGAGGCTCAGGGAGGCCATGTGCGCTCACCAAAAGTTAACACAAACAGAGCCATTTCTAATAATGCAGGGAGCTTGTTCGGGACAATTACCTCCATGGTAGGACAATCAGCCTTGCTTCGGATCAGGGTTGTGGGGATGTCTGTGTCTGCATATTCGTCATCGAGATCCACCACGTAGGCCATCCTCCCGGGCAGGAAGAGCTCGTTTCGCTCATAGGCCTTGCTCTTGAACAGCATTCGATAAATATTGCGGCCTGGCAAGAAAGGAAATTACATACCAGCTTGGGGACCCAGGCCGCCAAGTAACATGATGGCACTTCAGCCATTGCTCCAACAGCCTTCCTTCTGACCACATAAACCAAAGGCCGTAGTAGCCAACCAATTATTAATTCCACTCACTATTTAGAATTCTACCACATTTGCTCACGGCAGTCTAGTCCAAAGTTGACACCAATAGAAGCAAACTTTTAAATATCCCTACCCAAGCGAGTCTTGAATTCAATTTTGTTTTCTGGATCTTCATCTTTTCTTTAAAAAAAGTAAAAATAAAAGCGAGAGAGTTGACATGAGTTTCTGTGCTACCGTCTTTGTTCTAACAACATACAGGCCAGAACTGTCCGTGTCCCCACTCACTTAGTTTCCTTCTGGGGCTTCTCCATCAGTTCCTCTTCTTCCTTTTCTTTGCTGGCAATCTCGGCACGCACCTGTCCAGAGAGAATTTTCTTCAAAGCACTTGCCTAAGTGGTGTTGGGAACAGCTTCCCCCCAAATCAAAGGCAAGCATCTGACAGAGACATCTCTCTGGTGATGTGAGCAAGGGCACATGGCTGGCCTGCTCACAAGCATACTGTGAGTGGGGAGGAGAAGCCAAGTTAAAAAAAAACGTGACTACTTTTATGACTACTTATCCCAACGACTACCGAAAAATACACACACACAAAGCAGGGAATTTATATCTCGAGATTTCTCGAGATTGGTATCATTCATATATACATATTAAGATCCAATTAAATAAAGCTCAAAAATAGTTTGTAACGTGCATCTACAAACGGACACAGGTAAGCACAATCTGACTGTAACACATCTGGAAGGGCTAAGCCGCAAGAGCAGGATGAAGGCTCAGCCTAAGCAGATCCTCCCCGTCTCCCTCGTACAGGCCAGCCCCAAAAGCTTGTCAGTGGAGGGGCCACCGTATGCGGGGTGGGTGGATCCCAGCCGCGGGAACGGCAGGCACGCTCTTCCATGCGCCGGCTCACCTTTTGCAGCAAGGCAAAATCCAGACCCTTGACCAAGTGAGTGTGCTCCATGTCACCCCCCAAGAACTTGGACTCCTGGATCAACTGCCGCCTCTTCTCTGCTGCTGACTTGTCCCTAGAGTGACACAACAGAGCTTGTGATGGGAGAGCCGCACCCCACGGCCAAGCAGAGCAGCAGAAACCGAGACTGCACTCACGCTTCCGCAGTGGGTCCCACGGCCCTGTAGTTGGCAGTTGTGCTGATCAGCTCCGTTTCCTCGTAGTCCTTGTTGACCCCGTCCCTTCTCTCCTTGGCACGATCTCGGTACTTCTCCGCCAGCTCCCTCTCTCGTTCAATCTCTTGCTGACGTAACTTTGCGTAATAGCTGGCGGCAGGGAAACAGGCCAGTTATAATGGAAACACACAGAGCATCACACTGCAGGGGAATTCCAGCTGCTCTTAACACTGCCGCTGCAGAGATGGCCACACCAGCCCCTCTGGTCGTTTGTTTCTTCCGCGTGGAGAGATCCATATATTTATTGGGTGGGTTTGTGCAATCTACAGCTCATGGTGGTTCATCTAAGCCAGCTGCAGCTGCAGTGTTCACAGGCACGACCATGAACCTTCAGGTTACGGCTTGTGCCACCTGAACCAAGAATCCTTGCAGAACCCATGGTCCCCAGGTTCAAGCAACATGACACGCTGCAGCTGCTACTGAATATTCAACATGGCTGCCGGTATGCACCACAACCCCCTGTCGCTTAAAGAATATATTGATAAATAACTGCTTGTGGTTATTTAGAAATCTGGCAGATTAAATAAACCACGGTGGGCTGCTTGACCATGCGAACTGCCCCATTATTTGAGTTATCCTCATCTTGAGTGCTGCCTGCAAGCCACCACACGGCACAAACCATTAGCTCCACCTAACCAACAACATGGGGGCCTACAGCACTCAGAGCTTTGGATTTTAGCCTAAAATCAAAACAGAACTCAAACAGTCACAAGTTTCATTCAAGGAGGACCCGTGCCCAGGCAAGCAAATTCCACCTCATGCCCTTACTAGTAAGATTAATAAAGTATCATTCATGTTATCTGCTTCTAGGTGAAATATTCACTGGAGTACAACTGCCACAACCTGGGAAAAAGCCAGACAGCAGAAAAAAAGAATGCAGGGAGTAACTGGATAAAGAACATAATCAAGCTTCATTTTTCCCTTCAAAGTCAAATAAACAAAGTTTGTCAACCTCCCTTAAAGAAGAGCTATCCAAGGGCCCATCTCCTTCTAAAGGAACTTTAGTATGGATTCTACCTCCACTTTGAAAGTGGATTGTCTGTGTCTGTCTGTCTTTCTTTTTCTCTCTTTCTTTCTCGATTTCTATCCTGCCTTTTTCCTACAAAGGGCTCAAGGCAGCTTACATCTCCTCCTCCATCTTATCCCCACAACAACAACCCTGTGAGGTAGGTTGGGCTGAGAGTCTGTGACCGGCCCAAAGTCACCCAGTTGGTTCCATGGCCGAGCGGGGACTAGAAGCCAGATCGAGTGAGTCCCAGTCCCATGCTCTTAAACACTACACCACACTGGCTTTTTAGGAAGCTTCAAGATCCAAACCTCTCCTGGCATTTACCTTTTCTTCTTTCTCCTGCGAGCAGCTGGATCTTCATCTTCGTTGTATTCTCTTGGCATCCTAAAAGGACAGAAACATGTTGCAACGATGGCAGATCTTACAGAAAGTTCTGTGTAAGTAGAACATTCACTTTCAACAGAAAGCTAACAATTGGCTTGAAGTAGGTCATTTCAGCCCTTCTTAGCCTGTGTGGCAACTGTAAGATTCCTTGTCTCAGTCCATCAAGGGGAGCCAAAAGCAGCTTTGAAACTGCAGAAAAAGTGCTTTCAAGAGGCATGGTGTATTTTAAGAACTAGGCAGCATTCTGGCTAAAAATGCTATCCATGGAATCTCAGTTGAAATATTGCCTCAGTCATAAACTTTCCATGAGGCTTTAGGCAACCTACTATTCTCCAAACCTCAGTCCCCTTAGCACTAATACTAGATGATACCACCTTATCTTTCAAGATTGCTATAATTTATAAAATAAAAACACTATTATTAATATTCATTCTATTAGTTTCAATAACTCAGTAATTCTAAATGTACTTTCTCATGCATAGACATTCTATGTATACAGACTATGTATGCAAGAGAGAGCGAGAGATCATGCATGAACACACATGTGTGTACATCAGACAGCGCTAAAGTCAACTATCATATTAATATTCATGAGCTGCAGGGAACAGAGAAGAGTTTGATATTTTGTTAAGTACAGAAACAGCATGCTCACTCATGATGGCGAGACTTGGAAGGTGGTGCAGATGTTGGAGCTGCCCGTGGGGTCATAAGAAGCTTGCGGAAGTCTTCATTGGTCAGTTTAGACCTACGATAAAAATATGCATTTAATGGAAAAACCCACAACACGATATCCTGCCTTCAACATGTCCTACTAAAAATTTTGCTGCATGCTAGGAACTGCATGTGCTCCTTCATGGTATTTTATTTGCAACATCCATTCTTACAGTTTTCAAATCACCGTGGTCCCATAGCTTTCAGCACTCCCCTGCTGCTAACAGCACACAGGTTAGGCCGCGAGGGGAGAAGGGCACAGAACAGAAACAAAATCCAAGGGCAGGACACACTGCCATGGGCACATTTTTCCGCTCTCTGGGGCTGCTACGCCTCCTCTTCCCAACTGCACTGACTAGAACTCCACCCACCAACCCTTAACCAGTACAGTCCTGGCACTTTGCAGTGGCAGGAGTTAGCTTTTTCCAAATTTTGGTCACCAGGAACCCCTTTCCATCACCTGCACTTGTGCGTTCATGGGAGATCCACAGGGTCAGGGTGCAGGTTATCCTCTCAAGTGTGCCAGGCTATGAAACCCCAGAACAGCCACATCGACACACATGGCTGGGCTAGACCTCACGGCCAAGCACAACTGCAGTGCAATTTGCACGCTTGCCAAGCTCTGAGGTAAGGCTGGAATATTCCCCTCATCAAACATTCTGAACATTCACCAGGGTGTACAGTCGTGCAGACCACTTTTTTTCTTTCCTCAAAAACTGAAATCCTTTTTCAAAATACAATAAAAGCTCAACTCACTGGTGGAAAGAATGAGAATCATCTATCTCATGGCCATCTGGGGCCAGGGGGTTGGAGAACGGTTCACCTGGAGAGGAGAGGGAGATAGGACATTGATTACAAACAAAGGCAGGCCCCTCAATTCATTGTAGTGCCAAGCATGTAGTTACCATTCAGGTAATTATAGGCCTTCACATAGATAAACGGAGCGTCCAGACAGAAATACGGACTGAAACAATGAACTCGGGACTTCAGAATGCTACCAAGAAATCTGGCATTTACTGCTCTGAAAAGCAGCAATGTGTAACAAGCATAGAGCAGGAATCCTGGCAGGTGGTTCACAAGCAAAATTTCCTCCTCTCACTCTACTTTGCAATGTTTACAAACAGCTATCTTCTCTGGAATGTTTCCTCCGATACACTTACAGAGTAATACTGTAGCCCCTCTTTTAGAATACTGCTGGCACACAAACAATTTCCAAGGAAACAGACTGCAGATAGCAGGCATTCCAACAATGCTTTGTATCTCCAATATCGCTTAACGAATACATACAAATGTTGCATTACTTGCGATCCCTAGAGTTTTTCCAGGGTACCTCACCGACAATATCAGGGATGACAGAAAAGCCTCGCAGCTTGCAATTCTTCGAAGTTGTTGCACGTGTTTTGCGGAAACCCTTTCGTTCAGGAGAGCCAGCAGCGCCCGAGAACCCTCCGATGACGCCTCGAGGTTTGCCCTGGCCTCTTGTCTCCCCTTACCGGGATCCCTCCCGTGCACCGAAACATCCTACTCCGGCACCCAGGAGTGCTGCCGCTCAGGGCCTCCTCCAGGCAGTCCTGAACCGGCCTGGCATTCCGGGCGGGCGCCCCTCCGGCGAGGGCAGCGCCAGGCCAGCCCCGAGGCCGCCGCCCGGCGCCCGTCGGCCCTCTGGCAGAGGGCGGCCGACGAGCC